AGGAGGGCGGCGTATGTCGCTGGCCATATCTGGGGATGTGCAAACCAGGTGATGAGAAGCTCTACAAGTCCAGAAGGATGGGGAGAGGCTGGAAGGTTCTGTAGTCCAAGCTGCCACAAGTATGGAAGGCAGTCCGTGCTCTGAACAGGTGTGGCTGCGCTACAGGCTGCGAGACCCTTCGGTGCAACTGCCGGCGACACGGATTGCCATGTTCCCCTGCATGCCAAAAATGTATGGGAGATTGCTCAAACAAAGGGTAAGAATATTGTATACTTTCGGATATACCTAATTTACTACCGTACCTTTTATATTTATACCGGGTGAATATTCCCAAAACGAACATAGGGAATTAACATGGGAAAAGGGGTTTTTGCCGATCGTTGCTCCCCATGTTAACTTAGAGGGTTGATCATGACACCAATCGAAAGATTTTTTTCCTCGTCTAATGATATACACTTTATTCCGTATAACTTCCGTTGCACGTCATCATTTTCTGTGACGTAATTACTATGCAATAATGCCAAATCTAGTTTTGAGCGATTTAGGTTAAGTCACTTGTCAACAAGACAGTGCATTCTTTGTGTGAACAATCCACACCTTAAATAAAATAAAAATAATTTTTATTATTCATTTCGTTAATTGGAACCACAATATACATACAATATACTTTAATAACTTATGAACTGTACAAATGTAGCATCTCTTTTACAGAGAAAGTCCTAAATATAAAATTTTACAGGTTATGTGATGGATGATATTCAAATTAATCGGAATCATCGGAACTGCTTTCGTGTTCAAAGTTTATAATAATAGTAGCAACGTTTTCAAGATCTAATTGCTTTTCTCTTTCGTACCACTCGTGTATTACAGTTTCCGTATCCTTAACTGAATTGCGCCACGTTTCGGAAGTTATCGATTGTAGTGATTCTTGTCACGTTTATGCAATTTTCAATGCTTCGTCCATCTCTACCAATGTGTCGATTGTAGTAATTTTTCGCTATGCCCCAAATATGTTCGATAGGATTAAAAATGCGATGATCGGGTGGTAATCGTAAAACGAAGTAACCGTATTGCTCAGCTAAGTGGTCAATGCCTTATGCGGTACATTTTAGCTGATTTATTCCTAAAAGTATCAACAAGATTTATATAACATCAAATAATTTGCGAACGTACTTACTGTGCAACCTTTTCAACAGTTCGGCTGTAAAATCATTTTCGGAGAACTGCACATTATGATCACCTAACCACACTTTAATGTTGTCTGTTTTCCCGTTATCGAACACAATTATTGACGGGTTATCTAAATTCTTCAGTAATTTCTCTTCAAACCAATGCACAGCGAAAGACGTAGAAAATAATCAAAATCAAATCAAACGAAAAGTAAACCAAAAGCAACCTGTCAAATTTACAAATTTAAACGCGACAACATAGCGAAATGCTACCAATTGTTGCGGCTAAAATAAACTACATGCTTAATGTGTTGCCTAATAAACGAAAGTAAGTTTACGTTGGTACGTCGTTTTCTTCAGGTAATGACGTGCAACGGAAGATATACTGAATAGACCGTACGAATTAGTTCATTTTCAGGTGTATTTCTCACTGTATTATCAAAAACTCGAGAAATCCACTTACCAAAATCATGTTTAGCCATGACTAAGACAAAAAGCAGATTCAAACGTCGAAATCAATATCAGTTTATATGACGCCTGGCATTAATTTTTTTGTAAAATGCGGTTCACTGAGGAAAAAGTATTTATAATAAACAACGTTTACAGCGGAAATATTTACTCTAGTACGCCATATTTGTTTTCCGTGCATGTGAAAACCTATTTCAATTCGTTAGGAAATTTCCATGGCTTAACATGATTTTGCTAATTGGATTTATTGCCGAATTTTTGATAAAATAATGAGAAATACACCTGAAAATAAGCTAATTCGTATATCATTAGATGAGAAAAAAAATCTTCTTTTGATTGGTGTCATTACAAACCCTCTAAGTTAACATGGGGAGCAACGATCGGCAAAAAACGTTTTTCGCATGTTAATTTCCTACGTTCGGTTTTAAAATATTCACCCGGTATGTGAAATTCCTTTTCAGTGGTGATAACGCAATCTCAGAGGAGGTCAGGGATGTACTTGGTGATCCTTCATAGGCTTATAAATTTTTTACCCCATGTTTTAATATATTTTATGTTTTGTTAATGTGTATTTTTATTAAATAAAATATTACAAATTTATGTAGGTATTAAAACTTTGGAATATCTTGGGTTTCACCGCGTGCGACGTCTTCAAAAAGTGCAATAGGGAAGCCTCTCATGCAGTTCCGATGCAGGTAGGTTATTTTTGTTATCATAAATGAATTCCCTGACCCCAAAAACATAACTCTAGACACCTTACACGACCCGGTGTGCCTTAGAAATATAATTCGATCAAAAGTCTGTCATTTTCTAAAAATGTCGACTTTTCACGGACTTCCTGTATCCGGATTACATTTCTGGCGCTACCATTGGATTCCTCGGGTTAAAATCATACGAAATCGACACCCAGATCTCGTCTCTAGGCCATATTTAGTTCTTAAAAGAATATTACAATAAATCACCCCCACCCCCTCTAAAATCCACCCACACGGAAAATGTCAAGTGTTCTTCGGGCCAAATCGCCTAAATGGCTCTAAGGAACAGCTGTACCAAGTGGCACCTTGGTATAAGAAAATGTAGTATCTTTTGGTATACCGCTAGTACTATTACTCTTTGCTATAACTTACCAAATCTATTTGAATAAATAGGTATAGGTACATACTTGGATGAATATTATATTGATTCATTGTAAAATTGCAGCACATATCTGCGTTCTGTGCACACTTTTTCCAATTCTCAAAGTAATCGGTATGTCGAAATGAGGCCGCAATCATTTCAAAATAAACGGGATTTTTGTAGTCAAAAAGCAGCCCTTTTCCATTTTGCTAAAATTACGAAATTTAGTAGGTATACCGGTATCGATCATCTAAGCATTTTTACTTTTCCTATAGGGAAACGGCAGTAATAATTTGTATAATTGAAACTAAATGACGCCACTTTGATCTTTTCAGCAAACCAGTTATTATCAAAGTAGCTGTAACAACCCTCACCAGACCTGTACCTAAAAACCTCGTATGGTAATAATTAATAAACCTTCATCCCTGTACCGGCATAGCTTGACTTTGTCGTTCTGAAATTTATAGCAGTGTTGATAGTGGTACTGGTACATGCGACTGTTGTCAAGTACCTATAGGTAGCTATTTTACCTCAATCTTATTGTCAGTACTGGAGGATACTAACTCGCAAATTTGGTTCTAAAAGGGATGCATCTTAGAACATGTATGTTATAATACAGGCCATTTGTGCTCAAACGGGTATCTAGCGGGAAAGTTGTGGGGTAGTTTTGATTTCTTTGATTCTATATGTTTTTTGGGGTGCTGAATCCGAATCTGAGGTTTGCCAACAAAATGTCATGACGCAACATTGAAAAAAATACAAAAGAAGTTGAAAAAGATATTTTTTGGCAGTTTCGTGCTTACAACTTGAAAACGATCAACTTTTCGAAAATAACCTTCCTATTCAAAATGAAAGTACATAAAATTTCGTACAGACCCCACTATTTAGTTTTTATCCTCGATGAACCGTTCGGGCTCGGGCGCCAGTTGAAAATTGGCGTATTTCGGCTGTATCCGCAAATACTCATCTTTTATTATTCTTTTTTTATTATTCTGTGCAAATATAAATCCGTACTTTTCATTGTCTACCGGTCTTCTCAAAAGATTTTATAACAGTTCCGTCTGGTATAAAACTCTCCCACTCCTTCACAGATGAGCCAAGGCCCATTACGTCACCGTGTACCTACGCAAAGAGTACGTTACTCTTTGACCTACGTTTGCAGTCTCGAGGCCCTCCTCCCATACATATACATACACACCCTCACAAACTTACACAGATGGACGGACGGACAGTCCAAAATCATGAACTCGCTTTTAAACCGGGTTCAGTTGATAGCAGACAAATTTAAGCTGGGGTAACTGCGTTACCCCACTCCGAGGAGTGGGTACGTGATTCTTCAGAACACCGGAGCAAGAGGGATAATGCCGTTGAATAGGAAATCAATATACCCCTTTTGCCATTTGAATTTTTTTAATTAATAATGACCACAGCCCCACTTTCTCAAATTCAACAATAATTATCTAAACATGCTACGGTAGGGTTTTGTGATTTCTTTATCTAGTTCGGAAGAGAGTGGGAATAGTTTTAGATAGCACAGTATAAGTATTATATATTATAAATAATATAATAATATGATATACTGTTGTTCTTTAGAAATTAACTTTTCATACAATTCTGGACTACAATAAACACCTTGAACGTTTTGAAAATGAGAAAAAACCACCCTTACATATAAAATTCAAATAATAGTAGGTTGCAAGGAATTCACTTATTGACAACGCTTAATATTAATTTAGGGTTTTAGTGCGGAAAAACTATGTTTTGTGGAGACAGCCAATTTTCAACTGGCGCTTGAGCCCGAACGGTTTATCGAAGAAAAAAAACTAAATAGTGGAATCTGTAGGAAATTTTATGTACTTTAATTTTGAATAGGAAGGTTTTTTTTTGGGAAAGGTGATAGTTTTCAAGTTGTAAGCACAAAACTGCCAAAAAAATATCTTTTTCAACTTCTTTTGTATTTTTTTCAATGTTGCGTCATGAAATTTTGTTGGCAAACCTCAGATTCGGATTCAGCACCCCAAAAAACATATAGGATCAAAGAAATCAAAACTACCCCACAACTTTCCTGGTAAAAATACAATTTAACTGGATTATTATTAAATAATGTACGTATGTATAGCAACATACAGCCGCAACGATTCCAAGCGTCACTATAGTTGCAAATACACATATACCTGAAACACGCATTTTGTCACTACTAAACTAACATGTGAAACGTAGGTACATTATATATAAATTACAACAAACTGTATCCACAACTAATCGTTTATTTTCAATTAAACTAATCCATGGCGTTACAATTATCTAAAGATAAGATTAATAAGACAAATCTAATTCCTGTTAACAGTAGGGGGATATCTGCAAGTGTACCTCTAATCTCAACTATGATCTTTGTCTCAACAGTACCTAATAACAATAATAGTGGTTCTCTAACTAACATGGAATTGTTTTGACTTAAAAGTCCACGATTATGAGCTAAAAGGAAACAATATAAAATTAGAGCATGATTTGCAACACAGCCGCTTAAAACTGCTCAATTTGCAATATTTTGCTAAAGTAGGCAAAGCACAATATTTGGATTTGTCATCGATGCATTGCTTCTTCTTCTTTGGTTTGCACAATGGATTTGTTCGTTTGGTAAATGGACCTCGACAGACCTTCCTTTGTAGAGGTGGATGTACGCCGCACGTGAAAAATGATTCACCTTCAGGCGGGGGACAGTGGGTACCGCGTGTTGAAATCCCAGACCCGCATGACGCGGAGCACTTAAAAAATGTAAGAGGTTAGATAAGATAGGTGTGTATGTGTAGGTACTTGATGCAATGCATTTACTAATTTCAACAATTAAAAAGGAAAACCATAAATTTTGATTACAAGGATGTCCATAATCGAAAGTATAACATTGATTTTGTTTACAGTGTTTATTGTTGGAGTGTCACACAAATCCCGTGAGAAAAATTGACCTTACTAAGGTCTTTTATCTTTAGCTAGGTTATACAACAGCAGTTGGGTTTCAGACCCCTACATTATAAATTGATTTCTTTGTAGTTTGTGGTCCCACTAATACATTCCACCCCACACACAATCACTACCATTGTGGATTTCTTTGTTCCACAAGTGATCTCTAGCTGTCATCGTTATCTTGTTTCCTTTTTGTTCTTACCAGATGCGTTTAATGTGTTGTTTTAATTCTAAAGGGTTATCCACAATAAAGTGGATCTACGCCGATCTCCGAATTAAAGTCACTGTTCCCGATTTGCTTGCATGTTTGAACATAAAATCAACCATGAAGTAAGTGCACAAATGAAGTGAAAACTGTCTTGATTCATCTATGAAAATAACAAGATCTGAATATGACAGATTCCTAGCTCAAACTGCCACTCCGTGCCGTCCAGCAGCGTAACCACGCAGCCTTGTAGTACGTATATTATGTACTGCAACGTGATTTATAAATTCGGGTTCGATATTTATTAAACAAAACTAAAACACTATAAAAACTGTACAATTTATATCGACTATTTATATCACACACTTCGCAATTTATATTTCCGCGCTCGATGTTTCATACGTACTCGATCTCGTTCGGTAGTAAAAACTGCCTGCGATGTTCGGTCCGCAACCATTTATACACGCAAGCAATGTAAGTCCAGAACACTCGCGTAATTACGGGATAAGTCTGGAATATTCCTATACAAATCCCACTATCGCGCGCGTAGAAAATTTCAGAGCGCCAAAGGCGACGTCATGTCTGGAGCATTTCCGTTACACTACATAATCGTTCAGTTACAAATATATTTGTTATCACTCTTGCATTGACTGTGTCCGCCATCATACCGACCCGTAACAATTGGCGCCCAACATTGGAGGTCAATCTGCAACCGCAAAGCGCATCGGACCCCCCCCCCCCCCAGAGACTGTCGTAACAAGTCTCTGGAACCCCCCAATGAGTGACTCAGCAATGGTAGTGAATACAAGGAGTAACGCCAGCGTGGAATCTGGTCCCACTTCCATTATCGCCTTTCCGTCTCCTACCGCAAGTGCCTCGACCACTACAACCGCAAGTGCGTCGGCCGCCACCAACGCCAGCGCACCTCGCATTACCGCCTCTCACAATTTCGTCGACCGTCGGCTGGTTAAACACATCTACGACAACACACCTAGCCGCCGTCGGCAAGACCTTCGACATTCTTGGCAGCACCGAACATCAATTCCTAGTAAAGGGGACCAAGCAACAAGGAACCTTCCTGGTGGTCAACGACCTCGCAACGCGCATTCTCCTGGATAAGAATTGACTGAGCCTTGATTTCTTTCTTCTTGATCCACTGTTGTGGCGTGTCCGTTGGTGGGGTTATCAACAAGTGCGCGGTTTTCAACCAGTCTGCATCGTGCCGCCACAACATCATTATGTCAGCGCGTCCGGCTCACAACCCGACTGTATTATTAGTATTATTGTAACAGTTCAATAAATGTATACTTATAAATAGTATCGTGTTTACATATCTAACACATTGGCGACGAATAGTGGATACGAAACCATGCTAGAAAACAAAAATAGTGGTGTTTCCCTTCCGGCCTCTGGTGGTCTGAGCGTGGGGCACATCGAGCCTTTCAACCCAAAACACTCAGCCAGTTGGCCCGTCTATGCGGATCGCCTCAATTTCTACTTAGAAGCAAATGGAACAACCGACGATGTTCGAAAAAGAGCCGTTTTGTTAGCAATGACGTGTGGGGCAGAAACCTACGAGATCGTGAAACCGCTCTTATCGCCGAAATTGCCAAGAAACAAAAGTTATGAGGAGATCATTCAAGTACTTGACAAGTATTTTACTCCGAAACCGTCCGACATTCTGGAACGATATTTCTTCTACAGGCGAAATCAGGAAGATGGTGAGTTGATTGCCGCGTACATGGCGAAGTTGCGCAAGATGGCGGAGCATTGCCAGTTCGAAAACACGTTGGACTTGGAGGTCATGCTTCGAGATCGTTTGGTATGCGGGGCGAAGGACAAAAACATACAGGGCCGTCTGTTGGCCGAGAGAGAGCTTACCCTGCAGCAGGCATTTGAGATAGCTGTAGCGTCTGAGACCGCGTCAACTCAGATTACAGAGATTCGAGGGAAACCGACTAAAGGGGAGGTGTCCAAAGTTGCACATTACTGGGATAGAGGGCGTGCGGAGACGAAAACAAGGAGTTTCGTGAATGTTATTTGTTTTCGTTGCGGAGGGCGCCATGATGCTGAATCTTGTCGATTCATAAACGAAGAATGTAGAAAATGTGGCAGATCTGGCCATATTCAGAGAGTGTGCAAAACAAAGAAAACGCCAGAAGGGTCAGAAAAGTCGTGAAAAATGTCACCGAAAAGGAAATGGTTGAGAATGAAGAAGAAGTCGAATACCTGTGCTCCGTCGAAGAAGCAGTAGTCAATCACCTGGAAGAAAGTATTGTACCGCCAACTAAAGTGCGTGTGTTGCTGAACGGTATCGCGTGTTGTTTTGAATTAGACTCCGGTAGCGCGTCGACAATAATAGACTTTAGACAGTACAAGAAACTGTGGCCAAAAGGTGGCCCACGAATCGAGTCGTACGGTAAAATGTTAAAAGACTTTTAATCGAACTGATGGGTGCGTGTAATGTTGAAAATGAATACGCCGATAATCGCGAAACGCTGACTTTAGTAGTGGTCAAAGAAGATCGCTCCAACATACTAGGTCGTAGCTGGTTTGTGCCTTTAGGATTCAGTTTCAAAGGTGTAAAGCAGGTTTTTATTTTTATGGGAGTTTAAATTTGGCTTGGGTGACACGGCAAACCGTGAAGCTTTGAAGCGTTTTCGCACTGAAGTTTGAAATAGTACTTAAATAAAACATACAAAAATACTTGTTAGGCTAAAATAACGTAGAGTTAAACAGGCTTCAATTTGATAACCGGTTCATTAAAATTGGTCCAAGGGTTATTTTTCTGTTACACACAGTGTCGCAGACAGTCCTGACCCTATACATTACCTGCGACCAATCTCCATACTCCCAATAAGATGGACAAGGAATCCTATAACATGGTCTAATACTTATAGGCCGAATACCAGCACATCTTGTAGGATTAACCATATATCTCCACGGTTTATCTAGTTCCGACTTACTGGCATTTCTATTAACTGTAATTACTGACTTTGGAACGCAATATAATTCTCTTGACTGGGTGCCGTATGAGCCGCAGGTAACGCTGCAAGGTTCCCATTGCCCGGTAATCCAATGAAAGTTGCAACTGTTGAAGAGAACATTGATCAATAGGCGGGAGTATGGTAATTTCGCAACCTGTAAGTATTGCAGATATCCGAAGTTAATTGAGGTTTCACAATCAGTGAACAAAATTTTCTTCGGACAATCTTGTTGGTCTTGTCATCCCAACAAGCTATGGTTTTTTGACGCTTTCCACCTCCACAGCTTGCCGAACATGGACCCCATCCACCGAGAATCCATCGAAATCGATTTGTAGCATTTATTGTACTTTCTTTTAGGTAGTACTCTAGCTGTAAGGAGATGTTCAATCCGGCATTGACTTCATGTTTAGGAGTATACAGCTAAAAGAAATATATGAAAACAGGTGAATAGGTAGGTATAAATTGCAATATTAGTCAACTATTACCAATCCTACGCCTACACGTCTAATCCGACACTGTTTTTGAATAAACATTATAATCTTTCCGATAACTAGGGTCAAGTGGCTGGAAAGGCTTACATGTACAATTAACGGTACATAAATTTGCTTTTGTGCGCCTTCAGGTAGGATTAGGCACCATTTCGTTGGATCTATTTCTCATGTAGAAACTGCGAATTCAGCAGTCTTAGCATAAATAATAATTGCTCTGCGAAGTCAACATTATTATAAGGGTATAAACGTGGCGTTGGCAAAGGTTTAAGCGATTTATCCTCGATCGATAACAGAGGTCTTTATAATAATACGAGCAGATAAAACGGTTGTATGACGAGCAAAAGTTTTTATTGATTACATCAATTACGTGCACACAGCCGTTCGTTACATAACTTTATAATAATACTTCCACAACTAAAGACGCAAATTCGGTTTAATTCCTTTCTTTTTTTTTTAATAACACAAATAATTTCTTTTGCTCTTGATAGACTTAGACCGAATGTCTTCAAAAACTTTGTAGCCTAATCCTTTCGAATTTTTTCATTACTTAATTGACGCCTTTTGCAAGATCACAGTTAATAATAAATTAATGAAAACATTTCTTCCCAAGAGCAAATTTTATTGGTAGTTTCTCCCGAAATGAAATGGATTATCTTTAGGCTTCGCTTCGAATCCTGCTTAATTGAATCTTTAAAGTTCGTACTTGTGACTGCGTATTTTTTGGTCAGCTATAATTTTCGCTTAATTTTTGGATTAAGGAGATGGGATCACATTAGTCACAAGTTAAAAAAATGGTTATAAGTATGTCTAATTGAAGGTTGTTGCATTCTGCTTGTGTATAGCATCGCTTAATTGCTTATCAAAAGTCATCTTACCTAATTAATAAAAGGACTCTTAGAACGGATGTCCATAGTATCATAATATACTATGGTATCATAATATAATTATACTCTATGATAGTATCAATCATTTGCATACCACTCTTACCTCTCTGTTCTTAAGGTATTAAGCATTAATACTTTGCTTGCTCGTCGTCAGTTTCTCGATTTTGTCTTTTTTCATAAACTTCTAAACGGCTGTATTGACTCGTCGTATTTAGTTGAATTAATAACATTTAATGTTCCTGGAAGAACTCTTAGGTTTAGTCAATCTTTTAGTATAAAACTGTATAAAACATTATATTTACAACACTCCCCGATAATAAGAATGATGCGTTTCGCAAACTCCTATCCGCAAATTGAAATAATCGGAGTTAGTCTATCTGAACTTAGAAATAATCTTAAGTTGTTATCAAATGATGTCGACAAATCATACTACCAATGTTAGTTTAGTTAGTTTATTACTGCTCACTGTATTTATTTTTGATTTCCTTTTTTTCCAGTAATTTAAGTATAATTACCTTTGTATAATGTGAATTGTACACAAAGCTTTAATTTTTGGGACCTCTCCCGTAAGATAAATAAAATAAAATAAAAAAATAAAACATTAGATCAAAGAATATTCTAACGGTACCGATTCATAAAACTGCCCTATATCAACGTTCATTCAGTTATAACATCTGCAAAATGTATAATTCCCCTAGTCCGGCTTTAAAATCTTGTGACACACAATCATTTAGAAGGTTCATTTACAAGTCTTTACTGCAGAAACAATAAATTACTTAATGGCGTTTTCTGTTCTTTCGCTTGTTTATCCAATATGTCTTAGCAGCCATAAATGATTTAACAATTTATTTTAAAATGGTTAAATGGGAGAGCAGATGGTATGGATGCCGTACCAATCTGAACTTAGCCTTTTTAGCGCATTGTCCAATGAAGTTGGGTGCGCTAGTGCAGCCACTTTCTCTGACCGTCCGTCTGTCCGAAGCCTTAACTACTCCTACAGTTTTCAAGATATTTAGTTCGTTCTTTTTGCATTCGGTAGCGTATCGCTCTGGCACCTGAGTCAAGGAAAATCTTGACGATTGAACTGCGCATGCGCAGGGTGCGCAATGTTAACTTTTTTATCTATTAATATATTTTGTTGAAATTTTAATCACCGATACTTGTAGTAAAGGCAAATATATCGCATATAGTAAAAATCAGATCAGATTTCTTATTTATGGAGATATTTCTTTGAAATTTTAACCATAGATGCTTATAGTAAAAGCAAACGTATTGCATATTGTAAATATCAGATTAACTGAAAAACTGATTATGACTCTAAAAACTCATAATGTTAGTGATAGTGAATCTGTGAAGTTTCTGGGCGTACATTTAGACTCCAAATTATCTTTTAATGTACATATTAGGTCGATATCTATTAAATTTAACCGAAATCTTTTTTTATTACGTAGATTAGTAAATAGTGTTTCTCAATTAGTTGTATTAAACGCATATTATGCACTATGTCATAGCATATTATCGTATGCAATAATTGCTTGGGGAAATTGTCCACAGTCAAAATATGCCTTCAAGTTACAAAGACGTGCTATTCGGATTATTGCGAATATTGGTTATCGTGATGAGTGTAGGCATATTTTTTCTACACTAGGCATTCTAACTGTACCATGCATGTTTATTTTAGACTGTGTGTGTTATGTAAAATCCAAATTTGAACAATATGCACTAGTTTCGAAAGTGCACAGCCATAATACAAGAAAAAAGCTTTCGCTCAAGATACCATTTTGTAGATTGGGAAAATCTCAAAATAGCACTGAAATTATTGCCTTAAAACTTTTTAATCATTTATCTGATGATGTTAAAGTAATAAAATCACCGCGACAATTTAAACTAAATGTAAAAAAAAATGTTAACAGAATCCGCATTTTACAGTGTAAAAGAGTTTCTAGGGCAACAGTGAATTGAATAACTATAGTTTGGATGTTTTGTTTTTATTGTATTTTCCCATTATTTTCTTTTTGGACGAGTGTAAGTACATTGTTTACATTTCCATGAAATATACATTATTATTATAATAATCGCATGCGCAGGACGCACAATATCAACTGCGCAGTAAGTGTCAACTTCCTTATTTATGAAGATAAATCTGAATAATAAACCTGAAACCGCAACACGTAGATAACTTTTCCAAATTAAATTATTATATGTGTGAAATTTTGATACCTAATCAAGCATGCTAAAATCACTATTTAATTGTTTCCATGGAGATTTCAAAATAATTAAAACAGTCAGTGTCATTTTTAATGCAGTTTGCAGTTTATGCTTTGTACTTTTCAACTATACAGTCTTTATAACTAGGTACAAAAGCAGGTAACAGTGAAGAAGAGAGGTATACGTCTTTCGCTATAGAAACCGTTGCACGTCATTGATTTGTGTATCAATTTTAGACATATGCTGCAACACTGCAACATGTACAAAAAAAAACAAGTGTGCGAAATCTATAGAAAACTTGTCTGAAATTGATTCATAAATCAATGACGTGCACCGGTTTTTATAGCGAAAGACGTATACCTACGCGAGACGTTTTTATAATGTAGCCGAAGCTGCGGCCGCCGTAGTGCAATATTCGCTCCCCACAAAGTCAAGAAAGAGATACGAAAAGGCGCAACTTTTTAATGACTGGGGCAAAACTAAAGGAATAATTGCTTCCACACATATTCCATTAATTGTTAGTAGTTAAAAAACCATTATCCTTTGTATTCCTTTGTAGGTATATTAATATTTAAAAATATCCACATAGTCTGCATTATAATTATCCAATCGTTGATTGAATAACTTATTCAATGAACGATCTAATTGTTAGGTATTTTGCATGTACTAGGACTGTAATGGGAGTCAGGCAAAAATATTACAGTACTAGTCAGGTAAAGATCAACTTTCTAATGTCAAAATAGCCCTGAAATTTAGATTTTCTTGACGGTTTCAGATAAACGAAATTGATCCAAGGGTTCCGTGCATATTTTTTGGTTTTGCGCATGAGCAGTGTCAAAAATTTGGTTTAACGCATGTGCAATGCTAACTTTTTTTTTACAATGAGTAATCTAGCCAACTTACCAAAACAATCATTTCCACCAGGAACGGTCCTTTCGCCCAAAGATGATGGCGCCCTTTTATCTTATTATAGTACAATTTTGCACCTTCAATAATTTCTCCATGTGCTCCTTTTCTTGGAACTGGAATTGAATATATCTTTTTCATACGATTTTTCAAAATAAACGAGGCAGTTGGACTATTACTGGCAACCACCGTGAGATTAGCGTCTACCGCAATGTTCTTTGCAAAGGGAGGAATTACGCACATTTTGCTAACCTCTGGAAAACAAAATTTCAGTTCATCATATTGTATGTAATATCTGACATAGACGTCGTTTATGTACCTTTTTTTATTCTTTTGTGGTGAACCTTTTTAATATGAGAGCATTCAGAACTATCTCCTTTACAAATACCACATGCATCTTCTGTGGCATTTGAAAATAAAACTCCATCACATCCCAGTGGTTGGCAAACACCCTAGGAATAAAATAATTTGAACTTCTTAATTAAATCATACATATAATAAATCCAGTATAGAAGCGAAAACTCTTTGGCACTTTCCTATTTCATTCATCCACGCGACAGAGCTATGCAATTGGTTGGCAAATAATTTTGTATTTTCCGCCTAAAGGCTTTCGCTTCTTAAACTAATGTGGTAGTGAATAACCTGAATGCAAATATCGCTGCCACTTTCGTAGGAGCAGGGGGTGCCGTCAATTAAATTCTCGCCAGTTACGAATAACTCCCTTGTTTCTTTACTCATGCATATTAATTGACATTTCATTTCCTCTAAAAATGTCATCTCATTCAGTTAATAAACGTTGAAATTAACTACAGTCAATTTTAAGTTAAAGTTAAAAAAAGCCAATTTCGTTCGTAATCGAAATTTGAAAAGTGAAATACTTGAGATATCCTCACTTCAAAGCTAATGAAGGTCATTATCAAATGGCTTTACTGAGGTCCAACTTCTTTAAAACTGCAGAAATGCTTTATAATTTTATAGAATGTTTTAAATAAAATTATAAAGCGCTAACAACGTTCTGAAAAAGTTGACTACTACATAAATCTGCCTGCAGAAAGTAATTTGGGCACAAGCCATCTTTGAGTTACACTAACAAACTAAACCAACCCTCTTCACTTTCATACGGAAGCCAAGTTAAGTTACTTCGGCGGTCATTGATTTTTAAAAACCCAATAATATTTCGACATTGCTGCGCTCTAAGGTCAGCCTTCGGTTCCGGACACTTTATCGGTTTACAGAGTTTCCATTCTTCCGCTGGCCCAAAGCAGTTGTTTCCCCCAAATGACGGTCTAAAAGAATGTTTTATATAAGCTAACATATGCAGATCTAAGATTACGGAGGATTGTTACAAATTCGCGAGCGAAACTGAGCCCCAGTTCCACAAGATCGCGAACATGGACCCCATTCTCCCCAGTCACTCCAACCTCCATCCTGAGGGTTGTGAAGTATAGGAACAACTCCAAATCTACGTTTATCCACGGATTCACAATAACCATTTATGCACCACTAAAAACGTTGAAAATAAATAGCATCTACTGTAAAAACAAACTAGAGCACGCTGTCTGAAGTTTACCTTGTCAAATCCGCACTCGGTGCCTTCCAAAGGAGGTCCTTTTTTTGTTTTACACACCAACGGTGAATTTACGTGACCACACCACAAATGTGAGCATGGTTCGATTATATCAAATGATCGACACAACTGATAACTGAAACAAACCTTACAAGCTACTATAAAAATTGTACATAACTATACCCATCCCCGAATTCCATTCTACATTGCTCATCCAGCGTGAAAGTTGTATCTATTGTTCCATTTAAGACCGTTACTTCCCTCCAGTAAGGCGTATTTTGCAAGCACGCCCACTTACTAAAAATTGAATAATGCGAATACACATTTACCATTACAATTTACCTCTGCTTAAGTTTGAATTCGTTCTTGGAACACTCTGACCACGTAAATTTGTGGAAAGTTGCAGATACCATGGGTGCCATTACGCTTCCATCTAATGCGGCATCTCCGCAGTCATTTCCTACCTTTTTGTCTCCGTCGTGACTTAAACCTAAACTAAAACGGATTCTTATAAAACTCTTCTCTACACTAACAAAATCGCGCAAATTTTACTTATGAGTTAAGAGCACAAGGCATAATTTCAGTTTGCATCTGTATTTAATTTGAATTGGGTGATTATTAGATAAAAATGCCAAGTTATTGCTTGTATTTAATATTGTGTATATTTAATTCGTTCTTTTTGAATTCGGTAGCTTATTAATAGCCCTGGCACCTGAGCCAAGAAAAATTTTGACGATTAATGTGCGCATGCGCAGGCTCCGCAATATCAACTTTCTTATTTATGAATATATGTATTTTGTTGAAATTTTAACCACAGATAAGAGTAAAGGCAAACATATCGCATAGGTATAGTAATTTAGGGATGCTGAAGTATTTATTAACAATAACAGTCCACTAATTATTATAACAATGAACAAACGAATATAACATGCAACAAGAAAACTAATTAGAATGTAAACATAACGGTTTGGATGAACGTGTTCTTTTTATGCTTGCGTTCCTTCTTCATTGACGCAGAAGGTGATGTCTTTCGGTTGAGGAGGATGGCGTTCCTACACTATTAACAGCAGTAGGTATCCAAAACTACACTATTAGCAGCAACAAGGTAACGTTTTTTTTGTGACCATCCCACTTCCTGGCGTCACTATCAAGTTGTCAGATTATTGAAATGCACACTTTTCAACACGTAGTCAACCCACCTTACTTTAATCTGACGCGTTCGAGTGTTTCTAACGGCCGATTTTTTTACTATTCTGATGATCTGCCTTAGATCCACGATCCTATATTAAAGACTTATATGTGGTGGAGGTACTCGGCATGGTGCAAGGTATCTCTTTATGTTAATCTGCCGTGCCTGAGTAAATCCCAAATTCCCCTATTGGGCTCCCCTCTACTATTAGAGATATTAAAGATTTCCGTTTTAAATGGGATCGGGATAGTATTTGTAGGAAATAGCCATTTAAAAATTATACCGGGTTTGTTTGTAAACCAAATTTTTGTTCCGACATCAGTTTTACTTTTATTTGAGGTGCCTACTTACAAAATTTCATTGAAATATCTTAACAAATAAAAAATTGGGATTGCGCAAATACAAAAGTTGGGTTGCGCATACGCATATTTTTAAAAATTCATCTGCACTTGATGTTTAAGAGATATTTACTAACAGAAACCCGGATATTCATATGTTATTTGTAACAAAAATTATAAAAGAAACCCTTTTTTGGAGGTTTGGCAGTTTTTGGGCTGTAATTTTTTGACTCGTTAGTCTACGTAGCCGAAAATAGCGACCTTTCTTACATCCTGAAGAACATGTGTATCAATTTTCAAAGCGATGGGACGTTTCTACACAAAGTGCACAGACAGCCTGACTGACAGACAGACTGACAGACAGATAGACAGACGGACAGACAGACAGCAATACAAAATTATAAACGATCTCGAGGATCGTTAATAAATAAAATGAACAAATCGATCCCAGTTTACGTGAATCCGTATAATCTGCTAGCGCGGCGGCAAATATTATGTTTGCTACTGACGTCACGAGGCCTAGTCTCGCTCACAGGTACTTTTTTTCTTCGCGCTGACCCTTGATCTTAAAATGCTCACAGCGAACCTGCGGCCGTAAATATCAATATTTTGCCCTCAAATTTTTTTATCGTTTGTTAATAACAAAATCTCTCAATTTTAGTTAAAATATAAGAAATACAAAAAATATCGAATGACGAGAATGATATTTCGAAATGTCAGTCATGGTATTCAAGTCTGCAAATTCGACTCCAAAAAGGTGTAGTTTGTGCGTGGCTGCTGGTGGTGGGAAAAGTAGAATTATTACAATCAATAAGCATTCTTCCAAGTTCCAAGTATCATAATATCGACTTAAATCGTTATTTTTTTGTTATTTGCGACATTTTCAATTAACTACATGCGAAATTAGATCACTCACTAGTAGGCGGGGGACACTTTGTGACCCGAAGCTCCAATCTTCAAAGGAGTATAACTTTTGTTTGAAAAGTGATTTTAAAAAACTGTTCGACAATTTTATTCCTTAATTCATCAAGTACGTACATAACGAATTTCGTGGAGTTCTCTCCATTTTCGTTGTCCGGCCAAGAATTTCGGTGGAATTTTTTTTTCTAATTTTCAAAAACTAATTTCAGATTCGTGATATTCATGTTCAAAAACGCTCAGATACCAAATTTTGTCGAAATCAGAATTTTTTTCGCACTCCCATTTAGGGGTGCGCCATTTCGCGGTAGGAATTTTGAAAAAAATTTTGCAAAATCGGAAAGGGCATACCCGAAAACTTATTCAAAGACGTGCCACCCATTAAATTAAAGAAGAAATGCAAATTTGATGGGGGTGGCTCCCAAACGAAACACGGACCATCGGTTTATTTGGAAACAGTGCTTGTTTTGATCTCCTCTATCACCCAAATTTTTCTTACATACTTAAATGTAACATCCTGTATAACTTTACGATATTAAGCTAGTAGCAAAAAATCTAGTTGCTTTAATAATTGGATTTTATTATATAAAATTTGTAAGAAGCATTATTTCAAGATTTATTAATTTTATAATTTAATAAAGAACAACAATTAATGACAAATAAAGCCTCTTCAAAACTCGATAACCCGGAAACGAGTGAACATATGCTTCTTACATATTTTGCTTAAAATTAAGAGAAGAATTGAAATACCAGGATGTTCTATTTAAAAAAATGTAATTTTCGTGTGCCACGCCTTTATGACCAACTCGACCGTTTTCAGACTTATCAGCGACGCCGTATAGTTGTACATGTCCTGGACCTTTGCTCGAACTCAAATGCAGATGTAAGGGAAAATAGATTGAAACAAGTTGTAAATCAGCATATGCATGATTAAAGCGCATTTTTGGTAATGCAGGTGAGTATTTTATTAGCGAAGTTTAAAATTATCGATCTCACGAGTAATTATGGCTGCGTTAAATAATTAATTTTATTTAATTTCAATTGACGGTACGTCTTCATTTTGTAAAACGAATCATAAAGTAAATAATAAGTTTTTCATAGATATATAAATACCTAGATACAGCCATCCTTAACAAACGTACCTCGGTTTTTAAAAAACATATCTAAGAAATTTGTACATCTCTCCATTACTTTCTAACCAAGAAGAAACATGTTCTATCTCTTTTTATTGCATTAACCACTATGTCGTACGCGAATCGGACGCTTAAAACAAACTTAGCGCGTCCCATAAGTCATGTGACAGTTGACACATTTCACGATCCCGCGAAATCAAATCTAACTAAAAATATTCGCCCTAAACATGATGGGCGGTTTTTTCACTAAATATTATGTAATTATTGCGTTATCAATTGAATACGAATAACATTAGTGATTGCCATAATGATAGACGCGTCCATAATTGTTATTCCTGAAATAGTTTTATTACATAGAGCTACGCCATTCAAATTTGGGACTATGTTTACCTTGTTTGGCATGATGTGCTCAGTGAATTCATTGCTGGCTTGCAGAATATCAAAAAAACCGTAAGTAAGTAAAGTTTATGTTCAACATTTTAATTGCATGGTTTTAGGCGTAATGGTAACGGAGATTAAGTTGCGACAGGAAGTGAATTCGTTTCCAATTATCATTTTGGCCTATATGATGTTGATGCAGTGCGTTTGTATCATGATCACAAAGAAGGATGCGTGCAATATTCTTAGGAAAGCGAGATTTATAGACTGTTGTGTGCGTGCAATATCAAATTTTGGTCGCTACGCGTCTTGCCTACCTTTCGGCATAGTCCAATCGGTGGGGTTTCTTTTTGAAATTATAGTGCTAATTGTAGTAAGCTACACGTGTACATTTATTTAAAATAAATACAAAATCTTAACAATGATATCCAATTGATGATAATTCTCATTTAGTGAACATTCATTACGTTTGTAAAAGTTCACAATCCGAATCATCGTCAGATGAAATTGACAAATCCGTATCATCACTGTCATTATTAACACTTATTATAAAGTTCAGAAACATCAACCAATATAACTTCTCTTTTAAATTAATCACTTTCCACATCTTCACACACTTTCTTCCAGTTGTCAGCTGTAATTTTTTCAAATTCTTCATTTGCCAGTTTTCTAAGTAACATCTTCCATTTTAAATGTAACATTTCTTGCTGCTATGCGATTTAAATAAATAAAAAGGCGGTTTATTTATGTTGTAAAGTCTCAAATCTGATAATTTTCTGTGTGATTTGTGCTAACAATTTGATTGACAGTTATAATAAATAATGCGAATCTTGTCTTCCATGCTCAGGGTACCTCTATAAAGGATAGCGCTATACGTAATTAATGTGCCGAAAGTGATGGTAATAGATGGTACGTCCTTTTGAACTATGTTGGGGTATGGCTGTATCTATGTATTTATATATCTATGAAGTTTTTACACTGGTAGCGCTATCTAACGGTAAAATTATAGCACCTCCAAAACCCATATCGAAATTATTTTCTTCAATTATCGATCTCACAAGTAATCTAACTCAAAATAGACTAGTGCCTGCACATCTACACTATAGCAGGAAGCTTTTAGTGAAAATTTGAAGTCTCTAGCTATTGTAGTTGTGGAGATCTAACGCGGACAGCCGGCCTGCCAGCAATGACGAATATAATAGCGTATTTTTTTCAAAAATGCGCTAAAAATGTTATGTCCGTCAAACGTTTGGGCGGATTCGGTTCAAACTTTGCACAGTTTACCTATATAACACATGTAACAAGCCTATTTATTATTATTTTTAATATTAATATTAATAATTATTATTTATTAATGGGTCAAATCCAATATCACACCGCTCTGCCGCGTTTCTAAATCCGTTTTGCATCTTGCGAAGGGTGACTCTGTAGCGATCCTGGGGAACTTCTCCTCCCCGCCATGAAGAACGAGAAATGAATTTAAATTTAAATGGATCCGATTCATTTTCGCTTGACTTAGCCTACCAGTGATGTTTAATTATCAAATTTCCGACAAAATATTTCATCCCAAAAATTAATTCCGAGAGTTCATTAAAAACCTATTTCAACTGAGACAATCAGAAAGTTAGCAAGGTAATTTCATAGAGTTTTAGGACTAATTAAAAAGTCTTTACTAACTTTTAAAATACCTAATTTCCTTTAACGGTATGTAAACGCGATGCGTTTATCTTGAAAATATACAACCAATGGTATCACGAAAGCCTGCCAAACTTGACGTCCTTACAAGTTTGTAAGAATCTTATTAAGATGCACGTTTGATCCTATTTATAATAAGTGTACCACTCATTTGTACAACATATACATGCCATATTAACTTTAAAAAAATGTACTTGGAATGCTTCCTATAGATTATCGAATTTTTATATACTTTTATCATGTCTACAAAAGATGAGAAAATGGGATCTTGGTTCTCGAGAGTATTATCCAATACATTCGATCACTAGAGAAAACTACGGTTGAAAAAGAAAAGTTAGAAGTGACTTCGTTAAGATCGTGAAAGAGTTCGCGTTGAACAACTCTTAAAGCAAATATCTTATACAAATAAGGAATTTCTATTTCAACAAGTATAACTAAATTAAATTTATGAACTCCATCCAAGGTACTTAACCAGTACTTAGCTTGGCGTATAAGTTTACATGAGCTTTGGGAACAAAAATGTAATTATAAAATGATTAATGACTTACAAAGCATGTACTATGTAAATGACTTACATGTGTGCCATTTCATGTGCGATAATAAATGCGCTTGTGAGACCTTCATCTCTATTTAAAGCACAACTCCGTTTTTCATCGCATACTCCACCAACGGGAGCATAACCGGAAGGCCCTCCAATATCAGAACGCGTAAGCCACACCGCCACATCGTGCCTAGGCTCTCCCGGTGCCAACGAAAGATGTAACCTTCTATTCCAGGTGTTTACGTTTTCCAACGATTTTCTGGCGTTTCCAGGTCGCACTACTGATTGCTTCTGATTCTCGTAGAGCAACAGACGCGTAATAACCATTTGCATGTTGGCGTCTAAAGATGCATCTTGATAAATTGCGTTTACCTTATAACAAAAATTATAGTCAATCTACGTTGTTCCACAAATGCTCTCATCTTCTCTTAGAACGCAAATTTAGGACGAAGTTTATCAATACATTAAGATCGCAAACTCATTAAAGTTTCTCGAAACATTATTAGACTAGTAAGTTACACTGTTTCGTACTTACGATGTTCATGAGTGCCAACACATACTGTGCCACCCTTTGCCGGCCGTGGAAAGCGATTACGGTGTGATCGGCTGCCACTGCAATTTCCAGCCATCGCTGTGTTGACATCCACGATGCTGATTGTTTGCCATAATCTATTTTAGATACAGGAAAATCCGTTAACATGAACATAAAGATAATAAATAAATAACGTAATAATGTCAAAATTGATTTTGTCGAAATCGGATTCGTTATTGTCGTGTTCAACGAACAAAATACAAATCTTTAGAAAACGCTTTACCCTCGGCTTTACCGGGGATTACTTGAATTCCTTTGGTGCACTGTTTAAGTAAAAAAGTTTAAGATGCCGATCCAACTCTATTCAGAAAATGTCACATATGGATACTGCTACCCAAAGACATAACTTATTTAATACGGCATACTAAACAGCTAACACAATAATAATCCACAGAGAACTTACTTAGGTGTTGTTAGTGCTTTCAACCAATTTAAGAACTTTGCACTGCAAAACGCGAGTGTGTTGTTTTCGTAACGATTTGTAGCACTAGTGGAAGCTGATTAGCTAATAAACACTAAGACACTAACAAAGTGATACGCAATACTTAGTCTTGTTTGTGCTTTCAACAAGAACAGGAAAGCTAGACCTGTACAAGGCGTCATTTTCTTGGTAATTGTTCGTTGTGATGATCAAAGCACTAATAGCTACTAACAATATGCAACAGATACTTTTTACACAATATGTATGCTCAATGGAAAACGGTCGATCTTGCTTGAACTCTAGAAACGTATATGTATAATTAATGTTAATGTTGTTAACGCTGCAGTTAAAACACTAAATGGCACTAATGAAACACCAATGATAATAATATAATAAAAATAATAATATTTAATTGCCCAACAGAACAAAAATTATTCCAATTATAGGACAATATTGTGTAATACTACAGACGGCACATCAAAATAACATAAATTAAGCTACCAATACAATGATACGCATTGATTCCGATATTAGTTTATCGAGAATAGTACTTCCACCAAAGGTGGGGTGCCAGCACTGTACAATGAAGCGAGTTGTTTTGTCGGCACCAATACCTACTCTCTTTTCATCGCTGCCCTGTTTATACTTAATTAATAAACATACAAAGAGAACACCTTGGTGCAACTCAGACCTGGAAAAGGTTCGTAAGGAGGTTCGCAAGTTCTTTAATAAGGTCATGCGAACTTTGCTGCCTGGGGACTGGGAAGATCCCGATCGACTGTAAAGTAGATGCCCGAGGGATCTCTGAGATGGGCGGTCAACACCTTCAGCTCATTTAAGAAAGCAGGACCGCATCGGATATTGCCGTACGGCGCTTCTGTAGAAAGGTCTGAAGCCGCTGCTCTTACATTTGTTGCACCTTTTTAGAGCCTCCCTGACTTTAGGGGCGACGGAAATGACCTCATCGGTTACTAGATGATGTCCACATAGTGGGGTGCTGTCTCCACTGCTATGTTGCCTGGTACTAGACGTGCTCCCCCACAACCTGAAAGATGGGAGCGTATACACAAGGATACGCGGACGCGCGGACGATCTCGTGATAGGCATAAGTAGAAATTTTCCAAACACCGTGAAAGAGGTCATGGAGGGTGCTCTTGAACAGGTGGATAGCTGGTGCAGTAGACATGGTCTTTCCGTTAACCCAGAAAAGATCGAGGTTGTTTCATTTACGAATAGAAAGGAAGCGGATTTCTGGGACTAGAGACTTTATACTTAGATGTATATATGGTGATCGACCGAGAGCTGACATCACCTTCTCCCTTGGTTAGCGTAACACCGTAACACTAACAGGCAGAGATGTTAGCCATCATGACCTGTGCACAAGAAACCCTAGGAATTGCTCTCTTCGTTGTCAGAGTCAGGATTAAAGACTGGATGGCCAGTTAATTCCAGGCCCAGTGGCAACAAGCAATCGGACTCATACAGTCCAGGGACTTTTTAACAGGGCCCCTTGCGAAATCTGGGTCTTCTAAGCTTCTAAAACTAAATAGAAATAGAAGCCAGATCACCGATGTCCCTACGGGGCACTGGGTGGTCAACTATCACCTGCATAATATTGAGCTTGTGGAGAAGTTCAAGTGCAGGTTCTGTGACGAAGTACATGAAACTAGCGAGCATGTAGTCTGTCACAGTGACGCCTTGATCAGACAGACATCAACTCCTTGGAGTATTTTGTTGCACTTGTGCAATTACTTAAGATATTTGTTTTTTAAAGTGTCCGATCGTGTCGAAATTTAATGTAACAATTGAATATAACTCCTCCCTGTAGCCGGGGTCAATAGTTTTGGAGCAATATGTACCGCAAATCGTTATTTATTTATACAACAATTTGGGATTGAGAAAGCCGAAGGGAAAACTTTCAATGCATTAACTTGATGCCGAATGAGTACGTCTGATGCACATTAATTTGATAATCATACGTGCGCCAAGGTCGCTGGGAACAACACCAAAGGGACCAGGAACAGTTTGTACTGCCGTACAACATACTTCGCAAAAAAGCTAAGAAATTTCCTGTGATTAATAAAGTTTCTTCTACTGCAGTACGTACCCCGCTGTGTACGATTATACGATACGATTATAAATGCCCCCGATGATCTGCTGTCAAAGCACACTCCAATAATTGCGTTGGACAGCAATAGTCGGTCAGGCCTTTATTCAACTCAAAGGCGCCCTCACTCAACCGCTCCACTCAGCCGACCGCATTTCACCTTCACCGTGCAGACCGACAAGACAGAGAACGGGATAGCGGTTATACTCAGGAATCCCGCCCCGGAAAAAAAAGAGCATCTGCAGTTACCCCTGTGCTAGCTCAGCAAAGCGCAAAGGCGGTATCACGCCATAATTTTAGCCGTATGTGGGGCATCAAACGATATCGACCGTGACAGAGGGTTGACATTAAAAACGGACAACCATCAGTACCAAATCTAAAGCAAAGTTATCTGATGGATAAGGTGTACATACACGGCTTGCCCTTATCACCTAACCAACCACCTCCAGTACCTCCACCGCGAGTAAAACCGCGTATACTACCCCGACACTAAGTAGAACCCCGCCACCACCGTCTGCCCCCCGCCGTTCAGTTGGAACTGCTACTGATTGTAACAGTTTTATTTTCTCAAGTAGGTACATATGAATTATTATTATTATTATTAAGTAGCTTTGTCATTTTTGTTTGAAGGTCCCTGTAGGTTTCAATGGTCTATTGTTTAGTTCGTGGCGAATCACTATTGGTCCAGTCATTAAGGCGAGTTGGATGCGCAAGTGGGATTATATATTTCTACTTCCTTTTCTTGACTTACTTGTCGATGGGCACGTTTTATGAGCAAAAATTTCGATGACGGTGTAATTGAAAGAGTTTAAAGTATAAGCATTACTTATGGCGCTTAACCGGATTTATGTGTTCCCGAAATGGTTTTGGATGATCCAAATTGGATCGAGATACATTTTTCTCTAATTGTTGGAGGGTATAAATTAAATTTAAAGTGAATGTATATGTAAGTGCTGCCATTTTGCCTTAATTGTCCGTTATCTTGTGCGTTCTTCCTAGGATTGAACCGATTTAATTTTCAACCGTTGGTTGCCTGAATAATCCTTTTTTGTTGGTTCGGAGGCATGTTGAGTTTTGGGTTTTGAATAGGTTTGATATGTGACTTCTTTACATGGTTTTTAGTTTTGGCTACAATTCTATTTTCAAGTCATAATTTTACATCCACGTTTACGCAAGAGTTTTAATTATCATTGATACCTGTCCTGTTCAATTAATTAATGAGTTGTAAGTAGTGGATAATTTCTCTTCAAATTTTTAAAGTCATTAATGAGTGTTGGCTTCATTTGATTCTATTTTGAACGTGTTATGAATATGATTCTGGGTATATGCATTCTCCTTAAGAGATAGCGGTGAACGTATTGGATCCTAGATCTAAAATGGAACTATTGGGTTTTCTCCATTTTAATTACGATTTGGATAAACTCGGAATACTTGTTTTTTTCTCTTTGTTTTATAGTAAATTTTATTGTTAGAAGTGTTGAAACAGAGCTCTTCTCCTACGTCAGCGATTACATCGTAGGTAAGATTATTATTTATTATTATTATTATATTTTATTGCAGATTTGCACAGTACTCGAAAAGTACTTTTTTTACGTAACATAATTATTATCGAGATATAATCATCTTAACTGATGTTTTTACTAAATCAAAAATCCGTTCCCAAAAATTTAACCAATATTTTTTTCAATTTCTGAGAACGAAAAATATTAGATAGGCAAGGATGCGATTGAATAGAACGTTAAATCATTGATGTCCTTATCAAGACGAAATTACAATAGAGCATCATATTACCACTTTCTTTATTATAATTATGATCACTAAATGGAAAAAAAATCACCGAAAGCAATACAAATTTGCAAAGACACTATTGCGAAATAGAGCAGCTGCAGGGAAGCTACCCCCCTGCCATTGAATCTCGCCCCGCATTTAATCTTCGTCATTTTTTACTTGAAAGAGTGTTTGGAAGAAGTACATGTGATCGAACTTGAATGCCGAGTTGAATGCGAGTTGACACTAGTCAAGTGACTTTCCTATTTGATTCAAGTGCATTCACTTGCCTGAAAAATTAAACATGTTCAATTTTGACTTGCTACTCGTTTGCTTGATCAAGTAAACTTGAGCCAAGTAACTTGACAAGTGTAAACGCCGCTTTATCGTCGTTTTAGTTACAGAAGACTATTTAACAGATACACTATTTTAACAAAACTACACACGAGCATTTGTTTCATATATTGAATCCGTGAAGTTGAACTACACTCGAAATTCGAATCTACCGGTTACGTGGAGTCGATGAGTGAATTCAAGTAAGCTTGATTGACTTCATTCCATAATGCCGCGTTCACGTTCATACGCTTTCCAAACCTCAAGAAGCCGTCACAAACTCAAATGTGTGTTTTGTTTGCGTAAGTTGCAACTTGCAAGCGCTTGTGGTTGGTCCGTCGAGTGTCGGTTTTTTGGCATAAATCAAAGGGAGTTTTTGCCGCAAGCGCTTGCAACGAGTTTGTGGCACCAAGCGGTACATATTTACTTAATTCGATTTAGTTACCCTCATACACTTGAAACAAACTCGGTGGTGTGGTGTTTGTTACAAAATTATGGATTATATAAATGTAAACAAATTTGTGAATTAAAGTTCAATAAAAATGATTCGTACTTGCATGTTTAGCCTCCCAAGTAGAATCGAGAAAATAACCAAATTCGTCCGAATCTATTTCTTCTCGCCACCGCTTGAATGAGTTAGTTGATAGGTTCCCAAGCCCTCCATTATTAGGGTATAATTCATTTTCAAAAGACGTTTCTAATTCCACTGACTCGTTAATTTCCATAGTGTCCCCAGTTAAATTGAAATATTCCCACTGCCTTCGCGGTCCATTAGACTCGGTCGAGACAGAAGCGCTTCGTTTACTTTTGATCGGCGGAGCTTTAATTATTTTACTTTTGTACAATATATGCGAATTTGATGATCCGTTGTAGGGTTGAATAAAGTAAGCGGCGTCCGGAATGAAAATAAACCCGGTTATCTCAGAACCACATAATGTCATGGCAACCGTAGAGGTTGTTTCGACACCTTTCACAACCCCTCGTTGGTAATCACATTGCTTAAGACTTTGATGTACAGTAGAGCCCTCTGAAACCCATTCAATTTCGAGTTGTGGCGCTAGAAGTAAATTATTGTTGATACTGAATTCTAATTTCCAATCTCCTAGTTCGACGATTTTCGATTTAGTTTCTTCCTCGTAGTACACATTGCTATTTATATCACGACGACGGCGTCGAATGGCGTCACTGATACGGGGAGACACAATTTCGAAGTCTGAAGCGTGAGAAAGATCGATATTGTACCTGAGACCGTTACTGCTATCGCTTCCTACCGACGACATCAGAACACCTAGGAAACTCATAATGATAATTACGTTATTATTGAGGTGTACACCCATTTTCGAACGCACTATATCACACGGTACCGAATCTCACCGCACCACTTTAAAATATTTTGATAAAATCACACAAAATGTTACTGTTTTCCCGTGCGTGTTGTAATACATCACACACACACATATCACTTACACTGACAGAAAGTTTTAATTGACGCTTACTCTTTCCGTTTATATTTAGAAATACTTAAGACGGGAATAACCAGAAGCTTGTATTTAGCAAGAAACGTATAAAATGTAAGTGGCGTTGCTTTTAAGCAATAATAGTCCACTCATTATTGTAAATCATAGGAATCGGTATGTTCTCTTTAAATTTAGTATTATAGCAATGTAGTCTACTTTAAAAACCTGTTGGTTATTTCCAATTTTTATACAATCTTTTACACAATCACATCGTTCTTTGTTAGAACGTTAGAACTTTTATGTACCTCATGTGAATACTCGACAACACTTCACTTTTTATTGTAAACTAGGTTAAATATTTCTCGTAATTTACCTATTAATTCAACATGTGCTCTTCTTAACTTACTTAATAGAAATATTGACATTAATTATGACCCTTTTCCCACTATCGATATGGCTTTAGATTCCCTTTATTAGATATCTACTACATTATATCCAAATCCAAAATCCAAATGCGTCTATATATTTTATAAACTTAAATTTTGTTCTTTTTTTATATTATTTCATATTGTGTCCTGTAATTGGTGTAAACTGTTGTAAATCTAAACTTTTGTCCATATAAATACTTATGAAAATGTTCGATCGAATTTATACATGCTAGCAGTTCCTCTCGGGTGACACAGTAATTGCGTTCCGATGTAGAAAAAACCTTACTCAATTATCCAATGACTCTCTCCAGTCCATCTTCCATTTCTTCACTTCACTTTCAAACCATCGATGAAGGTCTACACCACCAGCTGCTCTATAAATCTTTCTGGAGCCGTAGGATACGCCAATCTTATCAATCGAGCTACATCAGCTTGGATTTCTTGCAAAGAATAAAGAAGAATAAAGTTTAATTTATTATGAATTTTGATTGTGTGCCGGTGTTTAATTCAGAGATTACATAAAATAACTACCAAGTTTTCGCATTTTGAATGGCATTGGTCAATAGATACTATTGTAGTTTCCTAAAATCGGCTTTATATAATAAAGTTTCTAATGCTGTGCTGTGATGTGGTCCGTTTAAAAAGCTACAGGGAAATTGTACGTATATATTTTCTTAAAATAATCTTTCTGTGTAATATCCAATACATTCTTATAGGTACATGTATACATGTATAAAGATACCTACTGAGTTTCTCAGTATCTCAATTGCATTCCAGCTATACAGGGTGGTGCCTAGCGCAACGCAGCATCGGGATTTCAATGGTAATTTCTTTATAGTCAATTACTAGCTCCCCTAATTATTTTAGAGCAAAAGTCTAAATAAGTTTTTTTTAGAGAAAAAAATACTGCATCTGTTCATACTTTTAGTTATAATTTTCCATTTTTCAAAACCGTAGAAATCGACAAAATAAAAAATTACATAGATATTTATAAATCAGTGATGCTTTGGAATCTTTTAACAAACTACAAGCGCATCGCATCTAAGTTATCGTTATTTGACGTCGAACGATTTTCATATTTAATTCTGTTACAACTATCCGATGCAAGAAAAAGCGGCAGTTGGGTCATGTTTTTTTAGAGAATGTATGCTGCATCTGCATCAGATACTATTTGTTTATCAGAGAGAATCAGAGTACCTACATAATCGAAGAAAAAAACTGATTTGAAGCAGATTTGTTCCTAAACTTATATTCGGATTTTCCGCTACTGCAGCTAAAACGTTAAATGTATTGTCGTTTTGCTGATGGTTTTGACGGACATTTTGAACGTTATTGCACTTGCAGTTCTTTAACTAATTTATAAACAAGTATAAATTTAATATACGTCAAAGGCAAATAATGAAACGTGATCGCTGTTTTTTTAGGTAATTCCAAGGCATATTTGATTTATTGTAAAATGAACCTTTTTATTTTGTCGATTTCTACGGTTTTGAAAAACGGAAAATTATGAGTAATAGCATGAACAGATTCAGTATTTTTTTCTCTAAAAAAAACTTATTTAGACTTTTGCTCTAAAATAATTAGGGGAGCTAGTAATTGACTATAAAGAAATTACCATTGAAATCCCTATGCTGCGTCGCGCTAGGCACCACCCGGTATAGAAACATATCTACTGTTACATGTAATACGTATAGGTACTATGCCAAACAGTGCCTCAAAATAAAGTACGTAATAAGAAAGTACATAATATTATCTTACACTAAGCCTTGATCTTCTGCGCTGCAATGACTGTTCGCCCATAACATGCAAAAGGTGCTGCTGACTTATATGCGGCTCAGGGTAACTCCCGTTTTCGGCAAAATAAAGGTATTTGAGAAATCTTCGTTGCACTTTTTCGATATTGGTGATCAGGTAACCCTGAGTTGGTTTCCATACTATTGACGCATACTCTAACGTCGATCTAACGAACGAATAATATAAGGACTTCATAGAGAGGATGTTATGAAACTGTCGGCACTGGCGAAACACAAATCCAAGCAATTTCTGTAGCACGTGAACACATCTCGTCAATGTGACTTGAGAAGGACAGCTTGTTGTCGAAGAGAACGCTTAGAGCCTTAAATGTAGCACTTCTTTCAATTTCACGACAGTCAACCTTATAAGTATAGTTTATAGGTTGATGAATACGGCTATATGACACAATTTGATACTTATAGATATTCAATGTTAGCATGTTTATATTACACCAATCATCTATTAAGCTGAGGCAAGACTGTAACCGCACACAGTCCGAAACAGATTCAACTTTTGTAAATATCTTGATATCGTCGGCGTAGGCTAACGCGGTATTATTCAAAACACAAATTAAGTCATTTACATATATGTTGAATAGCAGCGGCCCCAGATTCGATCCTTGGGGAACACCAGATGTTGACGCAAACGAATCGGAAGTAAATCCATTATATGTGACAGTGTGCATTCGATGGCTGAGATATGAGCCAAAGAAATCTATTAAATTTGGATGGAAACCCAGGCCATTCAGTTTTTGAAGCAAAATGCTGTGATTGATTTGTTCAAACGTCTTTGAAATATCGGTACAGATCAAGGATACTATATAATATAAGGATTGCTCGATCCCTATACTTGTAATGTTGCCCAAGTTTAAGTCATATGTGACGTCACCAACGGACCTGGCTGTCAGAATTGACAGTTAAAATTTGCTAAGTTGTGAACGTATTTGCATTCATATATTAATTATATAATATAACCAAAAGGCTTTAACGTTATATTTGAGCAAAATAATGCCAGGACGCCGATGTGCAATATTAGACTGTAACAACATCAGCCGTGTTTGCACAAAAATCACGGACCCGGAAGTCATTTACCATAACTTCCTTAAACCGATGGATTAATACGCAAGGAATGGATATGGTGCTGCAAGCGAGATTAATGGGCAAGTGTTTCTAATTTAAATGCCTGCCTACAACACCCATTTGAACGTATTTTATGGTAATCATAGGTCGATTCTCATTAGAGCAGCACCGAGCGGCGCGGCGCAGAGCAGCGCGGCACGTCGCTAGCAGCAAATTGTAGGGGGGTATTCCCACTTAAGCACCATTTGGAAGCGTGACGAAGCAGCGTTTCTGTTTGTGTTCAGTTTAAGTGAGAATGTATTCTTACACGCTCGAAGAAGAGCCATCATCGTCATCATCACCAGATGATTTCATAATATTTATAGCGGCACTATGCCATGTACACGCCGATCTGCTTCGCTCCTCGATTCCCACTTGTCCGTCTACACGCAGAGCGGCGCGTTTCAAAGCAGCGCCGCGTATTCCAATGCTTTCCGACGCGTTTAAAATTTGCTGCGCTGCACCGCGCCGCTCTGCTTTGCACCTCTCTGTCTAGGTTAAAAATGGATCTACTTATTTACATGCGAACAATTGAGAGCACCTTTTGACCGCGCCGCGTTGCTCTGCGCCGCGCTGCTCGATGCTGATATAATGGGAATCGGCTTTAATCAAAGCATGCGCTGGTACTGGGTCCGCGAGTGACGTCACTACACGCGGCGAAAAAATTCAGTGATCGACCAATCCTTATATTATATAGTATCCTTGGGTACAGATAACGTCTAATTGTTTCTTTTCTTCCATAGCTGCTATGATTTCGGTTGCGATACACACAAGGTTTGTGACGGTTGACTTGTTAGGTATGAATCCATGTTGGTTAGGGGACAATAAATATTTCAGAGAAGGAATTATTTGTAGATAAATAGTTATTCCAAATATTTTAGCAAAATTACTCAGTATTAGATATCGGCCGATAATTACTAAAACAATTTTTTGGCCCTTTCTTATGTTACCGGTATTAATTTACATTTCTTCCATTCCACGGGAATAGTACTTTTTATCCTATACAAGGAGAAACTTACATTTTTTCGCCTGTGTGAGGACGCGAAAGAAGACAATTGCACGCATGGAGCGAGAAAATTCAATTTTGTCGGCTAGGCGAGAAAAAAATACGCCTTATGTAAGCTAGATGGCGCGGTTGTAATAAAACTTGAAGGAAGTTATTTCTTTTTAATTAAATAAGAAACAAAATCGTTAACACTGATTTAATAATTAAATTTACCCTATGTTCACTTTACTTTACTGAATACAAGATTAATTTAATTACCGCCTACCTAATTATCCATGTTTTGTGAATTTGAATACTTTCCCAATATCACGTGACCAATTCAAACAAACTTAAGTCATAATCTCCCATTTGCATTCAATAACGGGCATCTGGTGATCTGTGCCAACACATTTAACACCGAGATGTACTTTGCACTGTACGTAGAACACCGCTTATCCGCAATAAGTAGCATTTTAACATAAGAGAAGAGACTACCACGTATTTAAAATGTGTCCAGCGTAGTGTCCAGTGTGACTGCCATGAATGAATAAATCTATTTATAAAACACATTTTTTAACATACAAGATTATCAAGGATTTAAAGTTTGCCCATTGCGCTTTCGTCGCCAAGCATAAATCCAGTCTTAAAAGCAACTAACATTTGACAAGACATGGATGCTGCGAAGGATTTAAAATGTAACCGGTGTGATTTTGTCCCTGAAAACACACATTCAATTTTAAAACACATTTGTTAATACACAAGACGCGCCTGGTATTA